ACTGTTTATGGCTAACAGTTGGATTGGATTGTGGGCTTGGGAAGGGGGGAATGATTGAGAAAAACTGCTTCAGTTTGAAAATGTGGCTATTGAGAAAATAGTAGTTATGTACCTTCTCCATGTTCTGTACCTTCTCCACACATATACATGTGGCTCATCTAAGTCAAGGCAGGAACAAGTGAAAGACAGTTCCTATATGATTGGGATCTACAATATTATAATAAAGTTGGTGCCCTTGTTAATACAGTGACTCATGTTTCATCTTATTATTCCAGATATGATATAAAAAATGCTGGTATATCCCAAATCCTGCATAAATCACATGATATGGCTTGGAAACAAGAATGCAGAAAGACTGTATTTGACATATACATAGAAGAAGACAACTGGTGAAGTGATCAGGAAAGCAGTGTAACAAACCCAAGACCCAAATCTTTGGGGGAGTTTTTCCTCCTAAATTCTTTATTCTGCCCAAAGATTTTTAATTTGCATGCTTTCAAAGTCAACAGCACATAAGAAGACATGCATACATTGAAGATGTTTCCCATTTAGTTAATTTGATACAGTGCTTGGAAATGATATTTCAAAAGCTAATATGTTAGTGTTATTTTTATAAAGTATTTTGCTGTTGTTACAAGTGATACATAGTAACATTTATTAGTAATGCATTATTGGTGCATTGCTTTTAATTGTTTTAATGACATAGAAAACAGCCCAACATATTTGCCAAATAATCCACATATTGAAATTGTGGAATTACTTGCTACACCAAAGAACAAAAACAAAACAAGACTTATAGTGTTAGTAGTTATTGCATCATTTTTCAAAAGATCAAAATTATCGTTGCATTAATTCCCATAATAATGCATTGCAAGTAACATCAGAACTTGTACCATGTCAGTTCCTATCTCTGATGCCTTGACACAGGTAACAGAAAAATTGATACCATTCCTATACATAGAAGAAAACAACTCAGTTCTGAGCAAATGTTCATGGTTTCTTGCCCAGATTTCCCTTTTCTTTAGCAGATTTTTTTTTCTTGAATCACCAGAGTAGGGATATAACGTGTCGTTTAAACATGTAATGCTGTTTCTAATAAAACACTGGCCAAAATCAGGGCTCAGGAGAATTAATCCTTGCCTGCAGAGCTATGCTTTGATAGTACAACTCAGTTCTTGAGTTGAATGGCAAAACTGTGCACGTAAATGCATACACCGATGTGCAACTGAATGTATTTGCTCATTAACATGAACTCTTGCATGTGCATCAGTATGATCAATGACACTGCATATAAAACTCTGCTTCTGCATCCTGAACTGAATGCAGTTGTTCCTCGTCAGATAAAAAATAAAATAAAAGTCCAAACTTTTTTTTCAGGCAAACTTGCCCATATGTAAGACACCATTAGAGAGCCAATGTAGTGTAGTGGTTTGTGCATTGGGCTACAACACCGGGAGACCAGGGTTTGAATCCCTGCTTGGCAAGGGAAACCCAGTGGGTGACTTTGGGCAAGTCACATGCTCTCAGCCACAGAGGATGGAAATGGAAAAACCCCTCTGAAGAAACTTGCCAATAAAACACTGTGATAGAATTACTTTAGAGTCCCCATAAGTTGGAAACTATTTGAAGGCACACAGCACACAAGACACCATTACATTTTCTGATAACAAGGGCATAACCTCATTCCTTTACAAATGGCACAATGACTGGTAGTATTTTAACCTCTACCCCACAATGAGTATCATTTATTCACTACTTGCCTTCATTCTTTTGGTGAGGTAAAATTATTTCCTGGGATAATTTGAAGGGATTTGATTTTTTAAAAGAGAGGCTATTTTCTTCTTTTAAAAAAGGAACTGAACTAGAGCAAACTCATTTGCAATGAGTTACAAATGAACTGTTTCCAAAATGCATCTTTCTATGTTCTGCCAGAAGCAATATCAGGCATCTTCTCTTCCTTGTATCCAGAGGCATACAATTTCTATTGCTTGGTTGTCACTGTTGTTAAGCTGCTATAGTACCTATCCTTGGACTGGATGTATTTTTTTCTTAAAGATTCAGATTGACCATCAATATGGCCGCTACATATCTTCCTCTAGTAGTCAGAGTTTCACACCTCTAAGAGGGAATTGTACTGCAAACTCTGTTCATCCTGCATTGAGAATATGGAACATCTATGTTTAAATTAATTGAATAAAATTTGAGCTTTAAAGCTTGGATGATTTGGCTGGGAGGTGAATTGTTTATCATTTGTAAAATTTAACATCATTTTTCTTTCCCTCTTCTCCTCTTCCAGGCTACAAATCCCAGGCTGCACAGCATGTGGGCTGTTATATCTTTCCATGCCTTGTATATAGAGTAGCCTTTACTGTTGTTGTTAACTGCCTTCACATCAATCTCAACCCATGGTGACCCTATGGGTTATATATCTCCAACCATCCCTCCCCCATCCTCTACTGTTCTGCCTAGCTCCTGAAAGTCATATTTGTGGTCTCTTTAATAAAGCCCATCCATCTAGCATGTGGCCTTTCTCTCATTTTACTTTCCTCCACCTTTCCTAGCATTATTGTCTTTTCCAGTGATTTTTGCCTTCTCATGATGTGTCCAAAGCACAACAGTCTAAGTCTTATCATCTTGGCTTCTAGGGATACCACTGCCTTGATCTGTTCTAGGACCCATTTGTTTGTCCTTTTGGCTGTCCATGGAATCCTCAGCACTCTTCTCCAGCACCTCATCTCAAATGTGTTGCTTTTCCTCCTATCTTCTTGTTATTTTAAGATGAGCAGAGTGAATAAATCATTGCTGGAGCCATCCACCACTGTGAGCAGAACCACCCCACATTTCATCTCTGGTGCTGATCTCACCACTTAAGAATGCCGCTCCCATGAAACAGTCCAAAGGCAGAAGATAACTCTCAAGAGGCTCATTTTATTCTTTAGTTGTAGTAAATATAAAGTAACTATTTACAAAAGAAATTAATCCATCAGGAGGCAGGAACAAATAATAAAAAAGAATAACAATAAGCTAACCAGCTAACCAGCAGAAATAGAACACAGCACCACCACCCCAAGCTGAGGGCTCATTTGATTTGTGTACACTTGTAAACAGCCTCAAAGTCCAGCCTCTCCTTGTGACTCATAGTCACGTGGGTAATGGTTCTCACAATCTCTGATGACATAATCTGTTTACACTTGCCATCTGAGTTCCTAGACATATACGGTCCTTGACTATCTTCTCTTGTGATTGTTTTTATACTCCACTTGCAAGCAAAATGCTTCCCAGCTAGCAGACTTTCACACATCTGTACATTTCCACTCTGACTACAAAACCCAACACTTCTTTCTTGACTGTCCAGCTCTCAGATCCATACATGGTAATAGGGAATATGATGGCTTGTATGATTCTGACGT